TTGTATCCGTAATTATTTCGGAAAGGCAAAATGCCTTTCCGAAATGTTTATAAGTATCTAATAGGAAGGAGGTTGGGTTGAGAACTTGAGACCCCTAGTCCTTTTCACCAATAAATAAATTATTAAACAGGTTGAAGCTTTTACAAATAAATATTGTATCAGCTTAAGACGAGGTGGCCATTTTATAACTAGGCTGTTAAGTAAAATGCGGCCCTAAATGAAATCCAGTTGTTTTTCTGAATGTTGATAGGATTTTTTTCCCTACTAAACTACTGGAAACTAACGTTGTGCATCTGCTGTAAATCTGATGACATGAATCTGACAAAAGAGCAAACCTCCTTTAGTGTATAAAGTAAATTAAAAATTTAGAAAGAGTTGATATTCTATAGAAACGTTCAAGATCAAAATCTTGGAAACACTTGATCGATTTTAATGGACCTTAGAACATAATCAAATACATGTGTCTCCGAATCTTCTAATGAAAAAGAAATATAAGTCAAGAATATTTTCGAAAAAGAGTTTAGAAAGACAGAGATGGGTAATTTAAAGTTTCTAGATAGATTTCAAGATTTTGGCCGTGAATGAACGGCGTATATGCGTATAATATGCGGCAAAAACGAGCTTAAAATTTTAATCGCCGCCTCCAGATTGGTTGTATGTAATGGGTATCTCACACAAGTATTTCAGGTACCTAGTAGTAAGCGGTAGGGTCTTAGATATCGTAGTCAGTCTTCGTAAATTCAAACGAGCATAAGCAACAGTTTCCACGTGCAAGCATTGCGGGTTTCTATAGTAACTGATATGGTTGCGCGTAAGATGATCAAACAACGATCTACAGACTATAGCCGCCGGTGCGTGTGCGATCCGCGGAACAAGGAGGCTTTATGTCCAACACCCTTTGTTTTAGTATTATTTTGATGTTAGTTGATACTTAGCTATTAAATCGGCATCTTATTATATTATGTAGGTACTTACAATGATCTGATATGACGACTTTTATTTCCTTAAACCTATGGGTAGACTAAAGGACTAAGGTACCTATATTAAATAAATCCGCTGTTAAGTCTTCTCGTTAATCACCTTCATGATCTACAATGTGAGACGTTGTTAGGCACAAAGACAGCTTCGAAATTCTGTGCAATGTTTTTACAATAATTTTGAAAATAGATAAAGTTTTGTACAAAATATGAACAATTCTCATAAGCAAAGAAAACAGGGATTGGTTGGAACGTTTTGGTACTTGTAAAATTTTGATTTTAATTGCAATCGTTTCTTTTTTTGCAGATATCCGACAGCCAATCACGAAGAACTACGATCCGAAATCCCAGAACACTGTCAATTACAATGTGAATGCTGGAAACTACCCAGAAACAAACCATAATCTCTTCCAAATGATAAAATGTCATGAAGACAGTCTTTTAAGGCTGCACCATTTAACAGCAGGCCGCCAGATCAACGGTACTTACGACGCCAGTTACCAGAATGACATTGCATGGTACCCAAAAGACCTCCAAAGACCTTACATTAAACCAGTTGATTACCTTGCATACGAAGATATGAGAAGAAAGTATGAAGAAAAGGGTGGGAAAGAGAGAGAGAGTCAAAAAGAGTCCGAGGAAGAAAGAGACGTGAAGTCAGATGATCGGAAGAAACCTAGAAGGAATAGAACCACTTTCACAAGTCAACAGCTGGCTGCTCTTGAGAAGGTGTTTGAAAAGACTCATTATCCGGATGCGTTTGTTAGGGAGGATCTTGCTGCGAGGGTTAACCTGACTGAAGCCAGAGTACAGGTAAGAAATGCTTTTTTTATGTAATAAGTCGGCAAACGAGCAGACGGATTACCTGATGGTAAGCAATTAGCGCCGCTCGTGGATACCCGCAACGGAGGAGTTACGAGTGCGTTGCCGACCTTTTAGGGACTAGGAATTTGGAGATTTAGGAATTGGGGAAGGGTTCGGGAAGGGGAAGGATTGGGCCTCCGGTATCCTCACTCACACGGCGAAACACAACGCTGTGGTTGTTTCACGCCGGTTTTCTGTGAGGCCGTGGCCGTGGCCGTGTCACTCTGGTCGAGCCGACCCATTCGTGCCGAAGCATGGCTTTCCTACACTTCTTGCTTGATTGTGAATTGAAGCCTAACAGCAAAATGTGTGACGTATACCTACTATGACCAAAGTGTAGTAGTAGGTATCTATAAGTGAAAGTTAAGAGATTTTATACCAAATTATACATTATGTAAGGACGTATTTAGAAAATATAAACTACTACTTACCTACATATTTATATACATTTTGACACAAATATAATATTTATAAAATCGTGGAGTAAATTATGTTATAATTTAAGTATAATCTAATTAAATCTTTTTCAGGTATGGTTCCAAAACCGTCGAGCAAAGTTCAGAAGAAACGAGAGATCAGCATTATCAACTCACAGAAGTTCGACAAACCAAAATTCACCCGAGCCCATTGCTGTCCCCATCGGAATACCTCACCAAGATCCGAGACAAGACTTTGCGCGCAACTCTAAGGAGCCTTGGCTCCACCATTTTCAAGCAAACAATCTTAACTTGAACCTTGGACTTCCTATTACCAATACAGGAATTTATCAGAATGATTATTCTCTTATGATGCAGAATGTAAGCAATAGGCAGTACGTTCAAAATACTAACAGCCTTATAGGACAAAGTGTTGTAGGATATGGCAGCACCACGGACAATGGGTACAGTTCTTGCAGTCTAATCGGCGGCTATAGCGGATCTTTACAACCGGCGCATCATAGCTCGTATAATTTAAATTTACGGTTAAGACCACACGATTTTAGTATAAATAATATAACATTATAAGAATGTTCCTAACTTGATTGTAAATACAAACGATTTATGAATTAAACTATAAGAATATTACTTGTGTGTTTCATTAAAATAAAAAGTATTCAAAATTAATTTGTAATATTTCCAAAAGCCCCGATTTCAGTTTCATTTTATTGCGGCAGGAACGCGGGAAGTTTGACAATGACAATGACATTTATCAAAAGCGCAAAAACTAACCGCAAAATAAAATTGCAGATAACCAGATTACAGATTACAATCAGGGTACAAAAGTAAGAAGTTCTTTTATACAATTTAATAGTTTGGCAGCTGAACATAATGTGTAACAATCCAGATACTTTCTATATAAAATAACGACTATAAACATTTTTAATCAAACTAGTCAACGAAGAGCACCGGCTTTCCCTACCCTTGAATTATTAGAAAACTACACCATGTCTTTGAAAACATATAGCCAAACTTTATTTATGGTGCTATCTTTTGCGTTCTTTGCGCGTGCTGCATATAATTACTTCGTCAAGAAAAAAGAAGACAACGGAAAAAGAGAAATTCATGAGGTTATTATGTTTTCGTATGGATCAGAGGAAATTAAAAAGAGCAAGTTCTCCCGTTGCATGATATCTGCAAGTATGGACAGATTATTACATTACTTAAGTCAACCTCGATATAACCTGGATATTTGTATGTATGTTTGGTCAAATCAAGACATAACTAATATTATAATGAAGTTGCACTATCGAGGTGTAAAGTTACGTGTGATAGTTGACGCCGACATGGCGTTTGCCCCGGGATCAAATATAAGGAAGTTGGAAAAGCAGCGCATACCGGTAAGATGGATGAAGTCAACCAATTTGATGCACCACAAGTTCTGCCTTATTGACACATTGAGTGAAGATGCTAGTTCGACACCATATCTAATGGCAGGCTCATTAAACTGGACCAACCAAGCTCTGTGGGGTAACTATGAAGACTGCCTAGTTACTTCACAAAAACAATTAGTAGAACACTATCAAAGGGAGTTTGAAAGACTATGGGTTCTGTTTAAACCTATAGTTAAGTAAAATTAGTAACAATTTTGTTATTTTCTTAAGATATTTTGACTTTTTTTAAGATTTATACTGAAGCATCAACCTAACAGAAGTTATTGACGGATCAACAACAAATGTGAATAATTCAAGTTAAAAACTTTGAATGTTTCTGGTTTTTTTGCTGGATAAAATTTTATAATAGTTACATGATATTGAAGACAAAAGTGGTATTTTCCACTATCTTTTATGAACAACAACAAACAGTGAGACTGTTTTGCCATTCTTGTTATTTTTTAGTATTAAAACATGGTGCTCCAATGGTAGTCCCATGTTGTAGACGATAAGATCTTTTTCATACCAATAAGTAATTTTAAGTTTGATTTTTTCTATATTTTTATATTCTAATTTAGAACTGAAGTGGAAATTCAGTAATCAACCTGCATTTATATTATTGTAGTATTGTTTTTTTAGAAGTGGCCATTCTGGTATGAGAAATTAATTTCTTTATCTTTAGCTATGATTAACCTTTTTTTATTTTGGTACTGTGATTGATAAAATATGTAAAAAAATGAAAAATTTTGATTTTAATTGTTTGTATGTATGTACCTGAGAAGAAGAATAAATGTTTATTTACCTACATGTTTTGTACTTATTTCACTAATTACTACCCAGCTCCAAAAACAGTAATATGTTTTTAAATAAATTTGTTATAATACTTCATTTATAAAACTTTAATATATTAGTATATCAGCAATTAATGATTACTGCAGTTTTTCGAAAGGCTTACTGATATCAATTAATCATGTTTTTATTTAATTCGTAAAAACTGGTGAAAAGTGGGTACCTATAATTACTAATAATATGTATAACTATCTTTTACCTGCGGCTTTGCTCCCACTGTACCTACCCTAATTGACCTTACTCAAGTCTATTCAACTCTAGCATACTTAGGTAAGGTAATATAATAAAACAACAAAAAAGAATAGGTGCAAACGGTTCAGCTACTCTCGGATTGTGCGTAGCTAACATATTTAACAATAATTTTGATACTAGAGCCTACCACAAAACTCAGAAGTACAATTTTGGGTGTTTTATATCTTAGAGCCAATCGGTAGGTATCTCAACAAATTATCTTATTTCTGAACAATGAATATCGCATCGGTAGACAAGTTTTTGAACGAGTATTTAAACGTCATTGTGATAACAGTTGTTTGATAAAGCTGATAAGCCTGGAATAAGAAAAGTTCAAAGTCAAACTTTCTAAACACACGATCGATTCTTAGTTTTCTATTATTTTAAGACTATATTTTGTTTCTTAAAATTAATAAAAATGGTATCAGGAATAGTGGCTGGAAGGTTGGCTCTAGTTACGGGTAAGATTATTTTAAATTCACTCTTTCAGAAATTTCCTAATAAAGAAAGTCAATTAAATTTGTTATAGCTGCCTAATTAATGAATCGTAAAGCAGGGCACGTTATTTTTATGACAGAAAACCAAAAAATCAAGTAGGTACCTAGAAAACGGATGTTGTTTAGACATGTTATTTACTTCAAATTGGGTATTTTGTTAGTTGTCTTATCAATTACCTAATAAAAATAATCACGACCTCCAATACTCTGAATGTTCTTCAGATAGCGGTCAAAAGCATATGTAACGGTACTATGAGTACAGAATGTAAAATCAAACTGGTTATCATGTTTTTCTTTTAAATAGGAGCTGGATCTGGCATAGGCAGAGCAGCATGCCAAGTACTATCCAGAGAAGGTGCCATAGTTGTAGCTGCTGACAAGAACTATGAAGCTGCTATGGAAACAATTAAGACTCACACAGCTTTGGCTTCAGGCAGAAATGGTAAGCAAATGTAATAGAATTAAAATGTATGTGAAAGAGAAACTACAAATCAAATTCCTTTTCTTAACATTGATAACAACACTATATTTTCATTCTTTTAATTCTAAGTATGACTAAAGTAGTCAGTAATCAAAGATATTTTAGTTCCATCTTTACTTATTAAAATAAACTGTGAACCTTTGGATAGATAGATACCGCAGGGTAATTATTAATAAGTTTTTTTAACCTTTCAACCATGGTAATTCGAGACACATTAGTAATACAATAGGAGTGCATTCACCTGCAGTTACATGAATTTAAATTTGATCATGTTCTTATATGTCAATTACAGATGCAGATCATATGGCAGTGGAACTGGATGTTTCCAATTCGACAGCAGTGAGAAACCTATTAACGACAATATTACAGCAATACAAAGCACCTCCAACAATAGTGGTGAATTCTGCTGGTATTACCAGAGACAACTGGCTGCTTAAACTGTCTGAGGAAGATTATGACAGTGTGCTAAATACTAATTTAAAGGTAAGGACCCAAAACTCTTTCAAAGTAGTTTTTATTTAAAACTAGCTTTTCCTGCAGCATCTAATCTAGCTTGCTTAGCTATACTACCATTTTGATTTTCTGCTGATCTAACATACTCATATGTACTACTCTGTCAAGAAAGTACCGGGAAAAAGTCAATAATACACAAAATGTTTGTTATTCATCTAAATTTATTTTATCACCTTCAAAGTATGCTCCTTCAGAAACTGTTAGAGCAAGAGTATTGCGACCTTTTTTTAATCTCTATGCATTTTATGATAGTATTTTGAATTTTTTTTTTTTTTTTGAGTTGACAAGAGAACGTCAAGTAATAAATATGTGTTCTGCCAAGTGTGTTTTTACTAATATCCTATAATATATCTTTATGAATTTTTCTTCCAAGAGCTACTCTGTGAAGGAGTGTACCTACGTAGTATCACACTCCTTCAGGTTATGATCACCAGCGGAAATAGAAAGTACGATCATGAATAACTCTGGGAGCAGCGGCAATGGTACGCATATACAATCACAATCGTATCCATCCCAAGGAGTAAGTATGAGTTTACCAGCAATAGAGAAACTTGATGGTAGTACTGATTATAATACATGGAAGTTCATGATGGAACTTTATCTAATTCATGAAGACTTGTGGGAATACACTCAAACAACACCAGCTGCTAGTGATGTTTCCGGCTCTAAAAGAGATCAGAAAGCGAGGGCAAAAATCTGTTTAATGATTAAACCACATTGTTTGATACACGTACGTGAATCGAAGACTGCAAAAGCGGCATGGGATGCCCTGAAGACTGCCTTTGAAGACAAGGGCCTGAATAATCGATGCAGACTTCTTACAAAGTTGGTGAGCCTGAAACTAGAGCAATTTTCTTCAATCAGAGACTACATAACTGCCATAATGACAGTAGCGCAACAGCTACGTGATCTGGGCAAAAAGGTAGATGATGAATTACTTGCAGCGTTGATGCTACAGGGGTTGACAGAGACTTTCCAACCCATGAGGTTAGCAATAGAAAACACAAACATAGAATTGACTACAGATTACGTCAAAACGAAATTACTTCAGATGGAGGATACTTATCAAGCAAGTCCTAGTACCGTGACAACCGCATTACAAGCTAAAAATAAAAGTCAGAAAGATAAGTCACACAAGAATATGAGTAGATCACGTGTCGTTAAGTGCTTCATATGCAAAGAGAACCATAAGGCTAAGGATTGTCCGAAAAACCCTATTCAAAAGAAGGATGCCTTAACCTCATTAGCGTTAGCAACAGCAGCACAAGGACATGGAGAATGGATTCTCGACTCCGGAGCTTCTAACCACATGACAAATCGGAGAGATTGGCTTAAAGACTTTAAGAAATTAGACAAATCAATTGTAATAGCTTGTGCAAATGGAGAAACTGTGGTTGGTGAAGCAATTGGTAATGTAGTCAACGAGGATATGGACGTCTCAATTAATAATGTTTTGTATGTACCTAACTTAGCTACAAATTTACTCAGTGTTAGCACAATTGTAAATAAAAACCTTGTAGTTGTATTTGAGAAATCTGGCTTTAAGATAATCAAAGCAGATGGATGTAAGGTTTCCGGGGAGACCTTGTATGAAGGTACTGCAAATAACGGTGTCTATAAAATACAGTATTGTTCACAGGAAGTAGGTCTAGCTTCAACCGCTGCTGACGAAATAATATTGTGGCATAGGCGAATGGGACATCTAGGGGTACGGAACCTAATGTTACTTAAAAACAAAATGGCAGATGGGGTAAGTTTTTCTAATACTGCTTCTAAGCTAGAGTGCGAAGCGTGTGCAGTAGGAAAACAGACCAAGAACCCTTTCAAGAAAACTGGTGCCACTAGGGCAAGTGAGGTCTTAGGGTTAGTCCACACAGACGTGTGCGGACCCATGAGAGAGAAGTCGTACGGAGGCTCACGATATTTTCTCACATTCATTGATGATTTCACTAGAAAAACATTTGTATATTTCTTGAAAAGTAAAGGAGAGGTCTTTGAGAAGTTTGCCGAATTCGTAAAACTTACTGAACGTCAAACTGGAAAGAAATTTAAAATTATCAGATCTGATAATGGCAAAGAGTTTGTCAATAAGCGTATGGATGAGTTCTGTAAAGCAAAAGGGATCTGTCACCAACTGACAATAGAGTATACACCCGAACAAAACGGAGTTGCTGAGCGAGCTAACAGAACTATCACTGAAAAAGCCAGGACAATGTTAGAAGAAGCTGGTTTAGGCAGAAAATTGTGGGCAGAGGCAGTCAACACCGCCGTGTATTTAAAAAATAGGTCTCCAACTAAAGCCTTGAGAAACAAAACGCCCGAAGAAGCTTGGACTGGAAGAAAAGTGAACTTAAGCCACCTCAGAGTGTTTGGATGTAAAGCTTATCTTCATGTTCCAGATCAGAAGCGCACAAAATGGGATCCTAAGGGCACAGAGTTAGTCCATGTTGGATATGGCGAAAACGGTTATCGCCTTATTAACCCTACGACAGGAGTGTTGCACAGAGGTAGAGATGTTATATTTTTTGAAAACTCAAAAGTACAGCTACGTGCTCCCGTTAATCAAGCCGTCCCGCTACCGCTGACGGATGTTACGGTTGAGTATGATAGAGTTTCAACTCATCATGAAGAGCCAGAAATTCCTGAAGAACCTGGAAATCCAGCTCTTGAGAATGTTGAGGTTGAAGATGAGGTTTGGGAATCATCTGACGAGGGGAATGAAGCAGATCCTGAGGATGGTCTTGTAGAAGAAGGTAGAGAGCTACCAGTAAATGACAATGGGCCATCAGATAGAAGATATCCGCTTCGAGAAAGAATACCAAAAGCATATCCAGATTTTGTAACTTACCAAGCAGTCAAGGCATCGCCAGACCCTTTAACTGTTCAGGATGCATTATCTAGAGAAGATGGAGACAAATGGAAAGCCGCAATTGAGGAGGAGCTGAGAGCCCTCGAGAAGAATAAAACTTGGACGTTGGTGAAGCAGCCAAAGTCGTGCAACATTGTTGATTCGAAATGGTTATTTCGAATTAAAGAAGAGGCGGGGGGAAAGACTCGTTATAAGGCACGACTTGTAGCAAGAGGATTCAGCCAACGGAGAGGAGTCGACTACTTTGAAACTTTTTCGCCTGTAGTCAGACATAGCTCATTAAGAGTCTTAATAGCCTTAGCCGCCCGTTTAGAGTTAGGCATAGATCAAATGGACGTTAAAACGGCATTTTTGAATGGAGACTTAAATGAAATCGTCTATATGAAGCAACCAGAGGGGTTCGAGGTAAAGGGCAAGGAGAATTATGTCTGTCTTCTACAAAAATCTTTGTATGGACTGAAACAAGCGCCACGAGCGTGGAACGCAAAGCTTCACTCTGAACTTATAAGACTGAAGTTCAGAAGATCTGAAAATGAGCCATGCGTTTACACCCGGTCACAGAATGGAAACATAATGATTATTGCTGTGTATGTAGATGACATTTTGATATTTTGGAACAATAAGCAAGAGATGTTCAAATTCAAAGAAGAGTTGAAGTCTAGATTTGATATGAAAGATCTCGGCAAAGCTGAGTTAATGCTGGGAATTAATATTGTTCAAGATGTCAACAAAATTAAACTGCATCAGGAGAAGTATATTGATGGACTCCTGAAGGCATTTAATATGGAAGACTGCAAACCAGTAGTTACACCAGCAGTACCCGGTCAACGGCTAGAGAAGCCTACACATGGAAGGAGACCAGATGAGAGAATTCCATATCGAGCACTGATAGGTTCGCTCATGTATGTAGCAGTATGTACAAGGCCTGACATTGCTCATGTGGTTAATTATCTTAGCCAGTTCAATGAATGCTATGAGGAACAACATTGGATTGTAGCAAAGCGAATCCTCCGTTACCTGAAAGGAAGCAAGACGCTTGGGTTGACATACAACAAACAAAAATACCCAGAAGTTGTTGTTGGTTACGCGGATGCCGATTATGCAGGAGACGCTGATCGACGTTCATATTCAGGTTCCGTGTTCCTTATTCAAGGAGGTGCAGTTTCTTGGCAAAGCACGAAACAACGAACGGTGGCTATGAGCACAGCCGAAGCAGAATACGTGTCGCTATCAGAAGCTGCAAAAGAAGCTGTCTTTCTCAAAAGGCTGATTGCAGAGATGACTGGTAAACAGGAAGAAACAATTCGGATTTTCTCAGACAGCCAGTCAGCAATTGCTATAGCCAATAATCCTGTACATCACCAACGTACAAAACATGTTGATGTGAGATATCATTTTATACGCAATGCTGTTGAGTCGGGAGCTATAAAATTGGAGTATCGGGAAACAGATAAGATGGTAGCAGATGCTCTGACCAAGGCTCTCCCCAGAGGCAAGTATGAGTGGTGTGTGAATGGTATGGGATTGCGTGTATAAAGTAAAGATGTGTGTGTACATATCATATGCATGAGATTAAGGAGGAGTGTTAGAGCAAGAGTATTGCGACCTTTTTTTAATCTCTATGCATTTTATGATAGTATTTTGAATTTTTTTTTTTTTTTTGAGTTGACAAGAGAACGTCAAGTAATAAATATGTGTTCTGCCAAGTGTGTTTTTACTAATATCCTATAATATATCTTTATGAATTTTTCTTTCAAGAGCTACTCTGTGAAGGAGTGTACCTACGTAGTATCACACTCCTTCAGAAACGATACACTTACGCCAACGAATAATCCAATCATCGAAACTTTTTTTAAACGCTGTTTCCGGAATTGAGTTCAGTACTCGCCGCGAATTCTCCTTTATGTCTTCTAACGATTGAAAACGGGTGCCACGAAGGGGTAATTTGAGTGTGGGAAAAAGAAAGAAGTCGGCTGGAGCCATATCTGGTGAATATGGTGGCTGCTCGATGGTGTTTGGTGAGTGTTTGGACACAAAATCGTTTACAAAGATGGCCTTGTGCGAAGGCGCATTATCGTGATGCAAAATCCAAGAATTTTCTTTCCACATTTCTGGCCTTTTTCGTCGAATTTGTTCTCTTAAACGCCGCATAACGCTCAAATAATATTCTTTATTTACCGTTTGACCTTCGGGCAAGAATTCTGAGTGCACAACACCGCGATAGTCAAAGAAAACAGTCAACATGACTTTGACTTTTGATCGACTTTGACGTGGTTTTTTCGGTTTTGGTTCAGTTGGAAGGCGCCATTCCGAAGCTTGTTGACTAGTTTGCATGTCAAACTCGTAAACCCACGTCTCGTCACCAGTAACAATGCGTTTCATGAATGTTGAGTCGGTATTGACTCGTTCTAGCATGTCCTCAGCGACTTTCATGCGATTTAGTTTTTGAAGAAAATTCAGGTCTTTTGGGACTAGCCGAGCGGCAACACGTTTCATACCCGAATTATTTATTAAAATGGTACGAATCGACTCGTGAGATACAGAAAGTTCGGCGGCCATCTCTCTCAAACTTGAATGAGGATTTTCAGTCACTATTTCTTGTTTGTTCTGTATTCTGAGTATTTCTTTCACTTTTGCGATGTTAACTTCAGTTGCAGACGTTGATGGCCTACCAGAACGAGGCAAATCTTCCATCACATCTCGACCGCTTTTGAACGCTTTGTACCACTCATAAGCACGTGTTTTTGATAAAGTCGATTCACCGTAAGCCTTCTGTAACATTTTGAGTGCCTCCGAACACGAAATTTCATTGGCAATGCAAAATTTAAGACAAACTCTTTGTTCGATGTTTTTGTCCATTATGAAGTTTGCAATACACACTAGATAAGTATTATAAAACTAAAAACAGCACTGTTTTTAATTTAAATAACAGATGCAACTCAAATTCCGCGCCAAAATGGAAAACAGTTATGCCAATCTAACAACAACAAAAAAAAATTAAAATTCGAATTTGGAACCATAAAAAAAACATTCAATCCCGATACTTTGTTGACTGAATGTATAACATAAGATCATAATATATACTTACTTACCTACAGACTGGCGGACCTCTCCTATTTAGACTGGATGTCCAACTATGTTTGTTTTAACTAATTTGTTTTGTGCATATGCAAACCCCCTCAGCATGGATGGGTTGCTATTTCCCATTTAACCCTTGAGGGTACTTATTTAAAATTTATTTATTTATATACTTATTGATTCAATAGGTAACAAAATTATTATTGAGCCACTTTTTCTAAGTCAGTAGGTAGCTTTATAGTTTATAATAGGTATTTAGTTTCTATTCTGTACGCATTTTTTTAAAATTGAATTGTGAATTATTGTGTTTAAGTTCTCAGAGATACTATATAGATAATTAAGAGGCATAACTATCCTATCCGTAAATTAAAGTGCAATTATATCATTTCTTTTCAGGGCACTTTTCTAGTTATGCAAACATTCTCAAAGGCGATGTCAGAAGCAGGGCTACCAGGCTCGATTGTAAACCTTTCTAGTATTGTTGGCAAATATGGAAATATAGGTTGGTATATTTGCTAAAAAAGTAATAGGTACCTACCTTATAATTAATTTCTTTTTGTAAAACTGTTGATAATCCATTGATTTTTCTTTCAGGCCAAACCAATTACGCTGCAAGTAAAGCTGGTGTAATCGGCATGACACAATCAGCAGCTCAGGAACTAGGGAAATTCAATATTAGGTAAGACTTACCGCAACAAATAAAATTATAGATAGACCTACTGGTGAAAATATAACATTGGTACTAGCATGAGACCTTACGCGACTGAAAATTAGGCGTTAAATTGTATAACACTAAAATTTATATTAATTTAACATTTCAGAGTAAACGCGATATTACCAGGCTTCATAGAAACTCCAATGGTGAAGACTGTTCCTGAGAAGGTCATACAAGGAATAATGAAGCAAGTGCCTTTGGGACGACTTGGGTCTCCTACTGGTGAGTCAACAAAAATATAAAACATACTAGGTACATTGGTAGGTACCTAGAAGAAGAGGAATTAGGGTGATGTTATAAATTCATCTCCGTATCTGTAAGGCTGTATAGCTGACGCCATAGCTGGCTACAATACTGCGCCTGCGCCACGTGTCGCGGTTCCGATTTCCGCACCGTACGGAACAACTCTGTGATTCACAAATTGTTGTTTCGGGTCTTGGTGTACCTAATGTGTACTTATTAGTAGAGGTACCTAGTACCTAGTACAAAAAAATGGTAGTTAGAGACAACATTAATTATTTAAACTAAAACCATAACAATCGCTATAGTTTATTTACACAGAGTAAAAAAAGAGTTAAACATTTGGTATATCTACTTAAAAGATTGGTTGACTGCTGTTATTTTGTATTACCTATACACTCTTCAACGTGGTGTTTCTATTTCCAGAACTAGCGGAAGTGATCGCCTTCTTGAGTTCTGACAAGAGCTCGTTCATGACTGGGGCATCGATCGACGTTACTGGTGGATACTAGACTGGGTACCAGAATAATTGAAATAGAATAAGAATTTGGTATTTTCCAACTGGGCAGCTGAATTTACAACTTATTTATACACCTTACTAGCGGCCGTTTTGTGCTTCACCTAATCCATCTACTAAATAGTGCGAACCAAGTCTAAACATTTGGTTTGGATAGGGTTCTTCAGTTCTTGAGTTGTAAAATTACAATAAAAAGTAGCATGGATTTCTATACTTAAAGTAAATAACTTACTTTATGATAATGCTGTCAAATCAGTCTTACCGTAATAGTTAAAATAATTAATTTGGAGTAAGGAAAATATCAAAATTATTTTTTCAAAAACTACTTTAGTTCTGTAATTGTTTGTAAGGGATACTTTTGGGTAAGAATGTACTTAAGTGTTTAATTGGTGTCTATCAAGTAATGTACAGGTACTTAATTTATGTCTGGATGATGGGATGAGATGATAAACAAAACAGCAGTGAGCAGTGATTTTTAAATTCTGCTGAAAGCACAAATACTTATAGAATTTTTTTTTTAATATTCTGCATAAATTTCTTACATGACCATTTTTTGTAGGGCAATTTGTTTTTATAATGTAGTTCTAGTCTTTGATAATAATAAATATAATGGATCAAATATAAACATATTTGTATCACACACATAATTACATGCACAATTTCTTGAAGTTTTTTATATTAGTACTTAATTGCAAACGCAACATAATATTATGTGTCTTCAACACCTGTGATATTTTCAATATACCTACTTCGAATTTTACTATAGGTAATAATTGTTATACTAAAACCATTTAGTTTAAATAAAGGGTTGAATGTTGTTTACACTGATTTTTTATTTTAATAATGGCCTCGTGCGTGTAAGCCAAGCTTCGGCACAAATGGGTCCGGCGATAGATCGCGGCGGAATCCTCGAGGCGATCGGTTATTCGGTTTATGCTTTCTGTCTCGCAAATGCGACAAAAATAGAAAGGACCACGGAAAACGGCGACTTGTGCTGTCAGATGAGGTCCAACCTATCATATAAAAAAGACCTTGTTAAACATATTTTCATGCCAAATTATTAGGTACTGGCTAGTATAACCTATGTTTCGCGCACTTTTTCTTAGTCTGGGTTACAACATTATAAAAATAAAAATTCATTTTTAAACTAAAATTACTATTTATTAACTATGCTTTCTTCTTGGTTTTTAACTTAGTCTTCTTTAGTTCAGCTTTATTCTTTTGTCTCTTATCTCTCATGAAAGTTCTGTACTCTGTTCGTCTCTTTTCATCAACAATTTCTTTGTATTTCTTCTTGTTGTACTTCTGGAATTCAGCATCTGCTAAAAGTTCATCAACCATAGTTCTCTTCCTCTGCTTCTTTGTCAACCTCTCATTCACATGGTCTAGCGCAGAATCCATGATCCGACCAACCTGAAAATTAATTGAACCATTGATTGATCATACTTATAGGTAAGATGGTAAGCTCAACAATTGTGAGAACAGCTATAAGTTGCATTTTAAAGAATGAGTGAATGAATTTAATTTTCTTGACATATGTCCGTAATCTTAGAAGAAGTCACATTGGTTGCCAGACTTCAAAACCACACTCTCATGGATGACAACTGGGTGCTCGCTTCACCCCTACTATACATATAAAGCAGTAGTAAAGTTACTATTAACTTACCTGGAAGTACTTTGGCAGCACTTCCATATCATTCTTCTTGTAGAAGTGTTTGGGGTCTAGAGCTGATCTCATCTTCAGGACTTGGAGGTCATTCTTCAGTTCCTCGGTGATCTCTGGTGCTGGCAGGTTAAACCAGCCAGGTCCCTTGGTCTTCTCTCGTTCTTTCTGTAATTTTTAATAGATAATGTTTAGTATTGTGAATAAATATAAAAAGTTATGTAAATAAAAATGTACCCTGAAAATTATTATGTACTTTCATTCTCTCTTGAATAAACACACCAAATTGGATATGTGTTTATAAAATTTAAGTTTTAATTTAAAATAAAAATGTTCCTCATTCACTTGGAAAGCCTACAAGTAGCATCCAGGTAAAGTTGTGTTGGGCAGCAATTTTAATGTATGTTTACTTATTTTTAGACATAGGAAAGCATCATTCAAATCAAATTCTCAAAGGAGAAAATTTTGATTTTGGTAGAGATGCAGTGAGGACATTGGCAGTACAATACATCATTACCAAAATAATCAAGTTTAGCAGAGTTCAGTAAACAAACTTCCAAATACAAACAATTTCAATGAAACATACCCTTCTTAGAGCCTTCAGTTTGTTCTTACTGACGTCATAGCTAGGCATCTCATGGTCTTGTTCGAAACCTGGCTTTAGGACACTGCTCTTCATCTCCTTTTCGACATCAACACCACCAAGGTTAGACTTCAGTTTACCCGTCTCCAAATCTAGTTGGTCAAAATGGAATAATCTTTTCTTTTTCTCCCTTTTAACAATTATGGACTGCGACCAGCCCATCTCGTGAAAGAATTCGTCACAAAGACTATCGATTTTCATACTTTTTAACTTCATATTAATTTCATCTTCTGTTGCTTGTTTTGTATCTAATTCTTGCTTTTTTGTGTCGAATAGAGATAAAATTGCTGCTTGTCTTTCTTCTTGATCTGTGGATTAACAATAATATTGAACCTGTTCCATCAAATTGTCAAAATGTTGTTTATTAAAATAATCATTTTAAGAGTCCAGTGGTCAGCATAACTGCTAACCAACGTTCAGGAGATTAGACAGACATTACAAATTACTAGTTTTAGTCAGAATTAGTTATTTCAATGGTAGGAATTACGTTTGTTTAGTCAATTGTTTAAAACTAACCTCGATAATATGGTTTCTCCGCATCGTCAACTAATTCTGTCTTCACTTGAAGATCATCATCTCCAACAGTATCGATGATAAAATCCATTTTATTTATTTTTAACCTTTTCTTGATTTAAATCATTGAACCTTAAGAAATATTCACACGTTTTGGTAAACACATTCACGCGTGCTTATGACGTTAACTTGACGTTTTTATTGACATTATGTACAGTTGACATTTTTTTACAGTTTATGTCCTGGATACATGTTTTTTAAGCCATGTACAGTCGACACGGAATATGTTGATGTTACCTCTTATAATTATAATTATTAATTATATCTTATAGTAAAATAATGTCTACTGTCAAGAGTTATATCGTTCAGGAAGAAAAAAATAAATGGAAAAAGTCATGCTATAAAAGTTATTATAAATGCTTACTATTTCCCATCCATTTTAATATCCCACTAAAATAAAATAAAAGAATTGATCAGAATGTTGATGTATCTAGATTGGTAATCCGACATGATATGCAAGTTACTTAGAGCCACAAATTTAAATCCTTGCATAGATGAGTCAAAGTCGTCTTTCATGTGATGTTAATGATAATGATGTTTGTGGATAATGACTAGTTGATAATATGTGTGTCATACAACACCATCATCATCTGTTTGTTTCTTTCAATTCTACGAATTAACAGAATGGTAATCTGTAAAAAAATGCATTTTAAAACAACTTAACTATATTTTTCGCTTAACTACCTACATAACATAAAACAAAGTCTTTTTGTCTGTCCCTGTGTATGCTTTAACTACGCAACGGATGTTGAGGCGGTTTTAATAAATAGAGTGATTGAAGAGGATAGTTATATTTATAAAATAATATCCATTAAATAGTGAGTTCGAAAGTGCAGGGTACTTAGTTAATTATAATTCAATCGAATTTACTAAACATGTTATTTATATCACTCAGATTTTTGCAGACAACATTTGTGGCTTTCTCTTCAGGGAGTTAATTATTCAAGGTCTACTTTCAAGGGTCTTCGTTAAGGGCGTGTTCGAGGGTCGTTATTGTCGCGGAAATGGACTTGGAGGACCCTTAAATGAAAGTACATACTACAGTCAAAGCTTACATACAGACTTCGTGGAATTTCCACGCGGGATACTGCTTTTCTTTAATGTCTGTGGTTTAGGAAAAAATACCCTTTTTTATGATTTGTGCTAACCTGTATTTGAATAAAACATAACTGTAAAAATATTGTTGTAAGAAGATAACAATAATTTTGTGAAACTACCTAAATCTTTCACCAATAAATATTGTGATAAGATTGGATTTGGATTTTAAAATCCTCATAATATTCGTTGACGGTATTTAATTACCACAGGTATTTATGCTATGTGACTATACCTCTTTAGTCGATTTGTCGCAAGACAAAAGAAAAAAAGTAAATAAAAATATACTAAGTCAATACATCAATCACGGTTAGCAAAATAATTGTGACCTTTTAACTCTAACTTTCTAAACAACATCAACTTCCCACACTGTCCAATTTGTCTGAAAACGCCCCCTGACCTAGGAACATAGAATACACAGTTTGAAATCAACAACTTACCTAACTTCCGAAGTTGCTTGGATCAAAGTTTTAGGAATTATATTAACGCTTTCGCAAGTAATGATCAGTGGGGCACTTGTTATACGGAACTGCTTTATGCGGTACCATAATAATTTGTATGAATCTAGTCCATTTATATGCAGTAAAATATACAACGGTGTATGTAACACGAGTAAGATACAAGACAGAGAATGTTGTTGGTTTCTTTTTTATTATTGTTTATTTGTACAAATTGGACTCGCTGTTGAGTTTTGACATAGAGTTTACTAGAGCTCTTTAGCTTGAGACCACTGTTAGCACTTCCTTAAAATAACATTTAATAATTTTGCCATTTTTTGAAGTAGTTTGTACTTATAGCTTGGGATTATTAAATAAGAAATTAGGTATGTATTATCTGCCTACATACTCTATAGATAGATTTTATTTAAAGAAAAATCAACGTTTCAAAATATGTTTGTAGCCTTTAGTTATAATAGTGCGTAAACGGTTAGACGGATTCCCATAGCTCTTTTATGATGTGTTTGTTTAGATTAGGATAAGGTTTTAATAAAAGAAAGTTTAGAAAATTAAATTTGGAAGTCGGAAAATAGCAACTTTTCCGGAACTGTAGGTACCTAGTTTAGACATATGCGTAGAAGGGGCGGGCCGATATTTAGTCTATATACATAATTAAATAACACCACTTTTCGCGTACGGGCCCCATCCGTAGTCATCTATTGGCTCTTTGAGGCGAAGGAACGCTATGCATCGGGCGCTCGGGTCACTATCTGGTCCGCAGACCCGCCACGGGGACCGGAGATTGTCGCACGATCTCCAACGTCCAGCATGGTTGCGACGAGCGTGGTTACTTCGCAGAAAGGGACAATTCACAGTTCCTCTCGCTTCGTACCGTGACCTTGACAAAGGCCGACTATGAGAGTTCACCGTCGCCGAACACTTCTCACTGTGTTGCTCAGCCTAAGCATACCTACGTATGTTCCACTCACGAACATGTAGGTTCAATAATTAAATGCATGATTAAGTTCGGTCTCTGGTTTTTAGCTTATCTGTGACCGTGCCTTTATGAAGTGTTATATTTGACTCGCTTACATAATAATAGTTACCCAGTTTGTGTATTATGTTTTATAAATGTTCTCTTACGAGGCCCTAACGACCCATTTACGAGTATGGTGGCTGGGAATTATCTGTACGCGGAACATAAAATTAAATAACTTATGTACGCTGCTAGTTATTTGTCATCGCTGTTTACTACCTTATCTATTAATATAATAAAGACAGAAGCAATATTAGTTTCGTTAAAAATCGTCAGGAAACTGATAAAAGTAATTAATTATAAGACATGCTCATAAAAGCATTAAAATCATCACGCTGGTTCAAATTCAATCGTAAATTAGAAATTAATTTATTCATATGTTTTTTTTCACTACATAAGGTCTACATTATTTGAGAAAGTATATAGGAAAAACTCACATTAGTCCTTGACAGGTTTCGAACATGAAAGTGAAATAAAAACACTTCTGGGCGGAAATAAGTTCAAGTAAGTAAGAGCGGAGTATGAGCCATACTGACACTTTATATCTTTAAAATTTTGGTCAATGATTTTTGACTTTTTTCTTTTTTTTTGTATTTTGCTAACATTGTCAAAATACGTTGTCAAAGTGCTATGGTAGGTGGGTACATGTAACGTGTGTCTACGCCCTTCAGTATTCTGAAAATCTTGTTTCATACTTTTTCAGCGTCGTTTTTCGTCGTAGTTGGGTTTTAGTTTTTATGCTTTTTAAGGATCTTAAAAACACAGCCACAAATCCTTAAGCAAAATCACGTGCAATTTGTGCTAGTCTCTGTTTCTATTGATTTCTTCCCGTTGTTGTGACAGACACAGACCCTGTGCCCGACAGGGTCGTGGTCCAAAAATAGGGGACAAGGACAATATGAGGCATTCCGCTTTTTGCAGTAGGTACATAAATAAATACGTGTTACGTTAGGTACGTTTTTGGTTATTTTATTAGGAGGGGGCTTTCGAACAGTGACTATCACAAAATTTGTGTGACTGATAGATAATTTCAAATAATTATATAGGTAGTGGTTTTTGAAAGTCAAGGTCAAAAACATTTATTTTAACTAAGTAAACCTTTAAAACGTCCAATAAAGAAATAATGAAAAAGAGAAAATAGGTAGTCAGTCTATGCTTAAGTGAGGCTCGTTGCTTATTCCAAAAATGTAAATTCGAATGGAGAACAATGATGACGAAGCTTCATGGATACTATTCGCAAAAGTTTTAATACATGTTTCCTTAAAATATTTCGTTCACCTTTAAGGTTAACATTATAAAAAATAATTACTTAATCATTATTAGGTATTTTATTGAAATAAAAGTACTTAATAGAACTACGCGTAATGCACTTTGAAAGACATCTTATTTTGTGGCGGCTTGATCATATTACTCCTTTATAATCTACTTGAAAAAAATGAATGAAAGAAGTGTGGTTGATGGTCCGAATTTCCCAGCTAGGTACCTATTAAGACTTACTCATTTCCCATAGGCGTCATGAAAGGCTACATTTAATAAATTACACTGTAGACATGAAGACGGAAAAATACCCGTAAAATGACATCGTGGAAAATGTATTTAGTTATTTGAAAATGGACTTTATGTTCACTGGAATAAAACTAAATACAGAAATTAGTAGTTTTGAGTTTGCATGTTGCAAAATATTAATATTACCTATGTATAATAACAACTAACGTTACTAGTTCAATTGAAAAATTTAGAGTAGGTAAATATCCCACTGTCATAGACCCAGCCCCCTTTCTTGGCCTCGTCCTAGAGCAGGAGAGAACGGGGGTTTTTAGTCAGTAAGAGTTTGACACTCCCTTTCGCCCAACCCTGGGCGGGAGAAGTCATTTGATGATTTCCTCCTGAAAAAAAAACCTCTTTTCCTTACAGGTTAGCCATTCCCTTAAAACTTCTGTAGGTGTCATACTTTTTACATGTGGTTTTATTTTACACATGGTTTTGGTCACGTTATGAAAATGTGACCAACCAATCACCGCAAAATATAAGCACGAATTCAATTAATCGTGCGATTAAAATGGACGTGATTCGCCTGATATTCCCATTCAATTTGTTTGCGAGTATTGATGCAATTCATAGCGTCAGCTTTATTCAATGAATGGTCAGCTTTATCAATAGGCTGAATAGCTTAGGTATCTTTGCTTTTATAGATTAAGATGTTAATCAATCAAGATGGTATTGGTAAAATTTTGAAATCAAAATGGCGTGAGCTTCAAGTGGTTACATACTCTTTGGTGAGCTTCAAGGCTCCAAGTAACGCCAAGGATAGTACCAATGCTCTTTATTTATAGGATTTGGTGTTGTCTATACATATATGTAGGTAATATTAGTCTTTGACCAGAGTAGTGTTTTCATGTCAAAGGAATGTCCAACAACCGTTGACGTTATTTGTATTACTTGTTGGTAAGATTTGCTCACACGCTACAAACAGCCGAATAGAATTGGTTACGTTGTGTGTGGTGTGGAGAGACATGTAATAGGATAGAGTCATCTAATTGTGTGACTTACTTAATTCAGTG